CAGCTTAAATATAGCACAATAGTTTAATTAATTAAATTAAGCATATAGAGGCCTGAAATATAAAATTATTTGAACAATTCCAATAATCTACATTTTTTTTAATTACAGGCCTAAAACTTAATAAAACCCATAAGTTAAATATTATTTGAGAAATTCAAATAACCCTTAATTTTATCACAGGCCCAAATCATTAATAGTTTAAATGGGCTTTGGCCTGAATTAAATAGATTTTACAGGCTCATGACCTAATAGCTTAAGAAAAGCTTCAGCCTGTAATTTCTCAAAGGGGATCGCCAGCACTTAATCCCAAATGTGCCGACGAAAATGGCAAAATTCCCAAATGCAAGTCAAAAGATCGCCTGTAATCGGGCTAAATCGAAGCTCGCCTGAAGATCTGAATTCGAGCTCGCCTAAATCAAGTTCAACCTCGCCTGAACCGAGCCGAAGAAGCTCGCCTAAATCGAGGGTTCAAAAGCTCGCCTGCTGTTCCTAATTCGAGCTCGCCTGCAACCTTAATCGAGCTTGCCTGAAATCGAGCATGTGAGCTCGCCTGAAATCGAGCATGTGAGCTCGCCTCTAATTGGGGCTCGAGCTTGCCTGAGGCACGAGCTCACCTGATTTAGGCTCGAGCTCCCCTGATTTAGGGCTTTGCGCTTGCCTGAATAGGCTCGAGCTCGCCTGAAGGTGTTGCTGACAAGCTCGCATGCTAACGTAGCTGACGAAGCTTGCTTGCAACAGATCGAATCTCGCCTGAAATTAGGTAAGATCCTCAGCCCTAATTCCGCACGATCTTTTCACCCGTTAGGGTTTCGAAAAATGAAACGCCGCCGCTTGGGCTCCTGCACAAACACCCCTTAGGGTTTCGCTCTTAACTGCCCGTAGTCGCTTAGGCTCCCGCACCCTAGGGTTTCGAAAACCTTAGGGGCTGTTTGGTTGTATGTTTTTACCATGTAAAAGGATGGAAAATGTAAAAAAGTGGGTCCCAATGTCAGCTTTCATCACTTTCAATTGTTTGTTTGTAGTTGTAAAAATAGTGTAAAGTGATTCCATATGCTGATGTGGCTTGTAAAGTGATTTCATAAAAAAAAGACATGATTTTAGGAGAAAGCTGACATTGAAGTCAGGAAAAAATAATAAAAAATAATTCCAACCAATATAATCATTTGAGTAGGGACCACTTTTTACACTTTCCAAACAAACAATTAAAGTTACATTTGCAAACCAAACAAGCAATTTATGATTCCAATGGAATAAAAAACAAACAAAGAAAAGTATAAAAGTGAAATTGATGAGGTGGACAACAACTTTACTAGTTGTGTCATAAATACAAAACTTTACCAACAACAACCAAACAACCCCTTAGGGTTCCTGATTGCCACCGCCACTATCTTCATTTGTCAGCGGGTCTGCCAGCGAACATCGCTGGTGAGGAGTTATCTGCCAGAGAACATCGCTGGTGAGGAGTTAAGCGACCGACGACATACCAAAAGGTTCTTTGTTGTCGATTTGAACTTAATTGAACACGATCTTGATCAATGATTTGATCTAGATCAACAAAACAATAATTTGAACAAAGTCTAGATTAAGAATTTGATCAAGATCAACAAACGACAGAGATAAAACAAAGAACATGCATGCTACAATGCAGCATCAGTTCTGAATCCAAGTTCGTTATTGTTCATGCGTGCAACAGTTCTCAAAATCACAGATTAAAATAAAAAAATCCTAATTTTAATCTTAAATCCCTAAGAATTAATCACGGTGGCTCTGATACCATTTGTTGAACTTTTAACCATAATTAATTCAAATAGATTAACGAGAATAAGAGTGGAAGCAATACCTGAATCCATGATAATCTGAATTAAGGTTGTTTGATCTTCTAATCTAGAGGGTCTCTTTCTTGAGTTTCTCTCTAGATAGGGTTGAAGAGAATGAGAACGTTAACTCTAGATTAGGGACCATAACCCCTTATTTATAGATGTTGTACTTTTATAATTTGGCCCTTCATCAATTATAATTACAACCTGATATCTGCACAATTAGCCCATGATTTAATTAAATATCCATTGACCCAAATTAACTTAATTGATCACTTTAAGCGGGTCAACTTACAGATAGCATTATACACTAATATAACATATATGTTCATAAATAGATTTAATCCAACATATATGACATGTTTAACATGTGATTCGTCGAGATTAATAACACCCTCACAATGAAAACTATATCTCCTCTATATTGTCTTCCTCCTGTCATTTTACATGGGCCAGTACCAAAAAGCTAATGAAAATAGTTTAGGTCGCTCCACAATTTACATTGCGTGCTCACATAGTTCACGCCCACGTGGAAAAAGTGATGGAAATATCAAAGTCAAACAATAAATACGTCACAACAAAAAATAATGAGTTGTTTGTACTTTGATACTCCGAAGTTATTTTCCAGACACTTTGATATTTCAAACTTTACATCTTTATTCACTTTGATACCTAGAAGTTTATGCCATTATTAATTTTTAACTTTGACATATCCCCATGTTTTATTTTTGACAATTTGATATCTTGAAGTTTGTAAATTTTGGAGAATCAAAGTTAAAACACATGTAATGTTGGGATATTGAAGTACCCAAATTTATCGAAGTCCAAAAAGGTGTAAATATGATTATTAAGTAGCGTTTCATGTTTACGAAGAGGTCGAGTATGAGTATGTGGAAGAAGTCGACTACCAAGAAGCTCAATATGCTTTGTTTACGAGTCATTGTGTTGTGTGCATGATATCCTATCAAATATCAGATTTTATTGTCAACAGCTCACTTAGCTAGATTGGATTTGAAATCTGTAAATGAACCCTTTTCTTTTGTCCATTCATCCTCTTGCTTGATTTTTTAGGTACTTGATTGGGGTTTGTTAGTCCAAACACAAAACCATACTAATGGTACTTTGCAGTGAATTTGTAACTATTTGTTTTGAAGGCAAACTCCAGAATAAGGAAAAAACAGAGTGAAGAGTGCCTTTCCTAATTTAAACTTGTTCTCATATCGATTACTGTGCTTAATAAATACTATTAGGTTTGTTGTGTTACGTGGAAGAAGTCGACTACCAAGAAGCTTAATATCTTTTGTTTAGGAGTTATTATGTTGTGTGTATAATAATATCCTGTCAAATATCAGCTTATCCTTTCGATAGCTCCATTAGCTAGGTTGGATTTTAATTTTGCAGATCTGATTGAAAAAACTGTCATCCTCTTTTTAAATATGGTATTCTATTCGGAAACAAAAGAAGGAAAGGGAAAAAAAGTCGTCAAATTTGGAATGGACAAATTTTGAAAAACGACCATTTTTCAAATTTATTGAGTAAAACCGACCCTCTGCGAAATTAATAGGCAAAACCGACCATTTTCTTAAGAAAATGGTCGGTTTTGCATTTTGGCTAATTTGTGAACTGCACGGGACTAGTAGTCCCGTGCAGTCTATTTAATTTCTTCGCCACCCATCCCCAAATAGCTTTCCTCTTTAACAAAAAAAAAAACCAAATCCCCAAGGCGCTACAACAGAGGAGATGGAGAGAAGGGCAGTGACGAGGCTGAGGCGTCGAGCTGGGGCGCGGTGACAGGAGGAGAGGGCGGATCTAACGTGATGATCGGAGTTTGGGCTGCAGAGGAGGCCGAAGGAGGCTGACGGCGGAGCTGGAGGGGAGCGCGGCTGGTCGGAGGTTGTCAGATCGTGGTGCGGGTGGAGGAGAAGCTCTGGCTAAGCGGTGGCTCGAGCGGGTGATGGGGTGGTGGAGTTGGGGAGAAGGCGGCGGCGCGTCGGGTCGGAGGACAGCGACAAAGGGAGCTCAGGGAGGAGGAGCTCGGAGTTCGGAAGGGCGGTGGCAAGGCTTGGCTGGGCTGAGGTGCTCGGGACGGCAGTCGAGCAGAGGTGGAGCTCGGGGGGGCTGTGATGGCCTGCAGGTGAAGAGGAGCTCGACGGAGCTGGGCGACAAGGGTTCGGGCTTGGGCGATCAGGGAGAGCGAAGGACAGGGCGGCGATGGAGGAGGGTGCTTGGGCGATCGTCGGAGGAGCGGCGATGGAGGAGGGGGCTTGGGATTTGGGTTTTTTTTGTTGAAGAGGAGACTGATTTGGGGATGGATCGCGAGCGTGAGAAATTAATTAGACTGCACGGGACTACCAGTCCCGTGCAGTTCACAATATTACCAAGTTGCAAAACCAACCCTTTTCTTAAGAAAAGGGTCGGTTTTGCCCATTAATTTCACAGATGGTCGGTTTTGCCTAATAAATTTGAAAAAGAGTCGTTTTTCAAAATTTGTCCATTTGGAAATTAGCAAAATATAGTCAGCATGTTCGATTGTTTCCACTTAGGGGCTGTTTGGTTCGTTTCCTTGATATAGAGAAATACAATTCCATGTAAAGAAACACAAGTTTTGAGTTTTCCAAACTTTTCCAAGAAATAGATTGTTTTGCTTTGGTTCGCACATAAAAATGGTGGGAAACAAATGTATTTATTTTCCTTGTGTTTGGTTCGCATAGAAAAAAAAAGGAAAACTTTTGTAAACAAAGCAGAGAAGGAAAAAAATCTGACGTGGCAGAGTTTTCATCAATTTCACTTGGTTGGGGAAGAAAATCGGAGAGGGAAAAAAAATCTTAGTTGGTGGCGATTTCAGCAGAGTTTTTCCTCTTCCATTCGAGCGAACCAAAGCGGCACAAAGAAATGAACGGAAACAAAAAAAACTGACGTGGAGGGTTAAAAATCTGACGTTGAGAGGTTTTCTGAGTTTTCCACCCCTTATAATAGCGAACCAAACAGCCCCTTAAATTCTTTCGTGATAGATGCAATCCACCATTCCAACAAAGAAAACACAAACCTAAAATGGAATAACAAAAAGAGATGTTAGTACTCCTATCAAACAAGGTTAGCGTTAACGGGTTAAACATTATCCATTTTAATAGGTCATATCAAACATAGAAATAAATATGGAGTTTCTCCTGATAATTTTTTCAGGATAACACCTACATTGTTAAAGTTTAACCCCCATTGCTATTTGGCATCGGTTCTCGACCCGATCAACGGAGGGATCGCCATCAACCCAAGAAGAAGACTGCAACCCTTGATGCGAAGAAGAGAAGCAGCGATAACGACATTGAATATTGTCTCGTTGTGCTCGTCATGGCGTAAATGATGTATTTGTGCACACCATCTTTGTGAATGTTGGGCTATTTGAATTAGGATATGAAGCATGTAAAATATTTTCTTCTAGTTTTGTTATGTAAATAATTGAAGGAGCGTTGTTAAATATTTGGTGATATTGCATCTGAGAAATATTTGGTTATAGTAATGTAATATTTTTTGGGTTCTATTTTTGTTCATTGAAAAATAGATAGGCGGGGGTGGACAAAAACCCAAAAAAACCGGTTCAACCGAAAAAACCACCCGAAAAAACGGACCGGTTATTCGAACCGAATTAAATGGATGGGAAGAAGTCTCTAAACCGCTCGAACCGAATTAAATCGGTTTGGATCCGGTTTGAACCCCTGAACCGCCCAAAAAAAATCGATCCGAATTTTGTTGGGCGGTTTAGAGACTAAACTTATACCTCAAAACTTTTCTTGTTATCATCCAATAGATTCAAACGGCGCAAGGAGCAGTTTCAAGCAATGAGTACATCAATATCACAGAAAAATATCATTGAGAACTAAGTAAAGATTCAAATCAATCCAGAAAATTTGTTATGCACATGATGCACTTACAAAAGATGCATATGCTACATTATATGAACAATATCATACAAAACATCACTCCCCTGTGTAATTAAATAAACTTAAACTTTATATATGAACAATATCATACAAAACATCACTCCCCTGTGTAATTAAATAAACTTAAACTTTAGTTAAAAAATTTCGCAGAAAAGATCTTGAGAATTACATACGATTCAAATCAATCACAAAATGTGTTAAGTACATGATACTTACAAGAGATAAGCATGCTGTATTATATGAACAACATCTTTAAAACATCAGTTCTCTACGTAATTATATCAACTCAAAACTTTATTCTAAAGATGATAACCATTCTAATAAAGCTTTGTTGGCGAGCTCAGGAACCTCATCATGAGGACAATGCCCAGCTTGCAAATTCACAACAGAAGTATTTGGATAGAACTCTTTGCAAATTCAAAACCGAAACCGAACCGAACCGAACCGAATTTCGGTTGGGCCGAATATTCGGATGAAGGGGAAAAAATCTGGATCTGGATGAGAGTTTTGAGCATCCGAAAAATTCGGATTGGATGCGGATTGGGCATAAAACCGAACCGAACCGAATATGCCCAGCCCTAATTACTCTCTGATAGTTACTCTATAATCATCCTTAATATTATAATTAGATGCATTTAGCTAAGTCCTCTTGTTTTATTTTCAGCATAATTAATTTGGTTGATTGTTTTCTTATTTATAATTGGGTTGTATAAAAAATGTATTCTCTAAATTAAGAAATAAGGTTGTAAGGTGCGAAACTAATCGAGGATAGAATTTATAATCACAATTGTAGGAACCAAACGTGGGATTGAGATTTTGGGCATCAAAATCCCAAGGATTTTGAACGTGTAACCAAACAAGGGACTAGGACTTTTAATCCTAATCCCATCTAATCCCGATCCTAATCTAAGTCATAGTCCCAGTTCCGTAGTGAACCAAACGCTGCATTAGGGTATCAAACGTCAACTAAAAACACCAGCGGATCAAAGTGTCAACTCAAAACTTTGGGCTCAAAGTTAGAAGAGATGTAAATTTGAGGACACCAAATTGCAAATAACCGAAAAAAAAAAACCATTACGCGCGCCGGAGAGTAAGACAAACTTTTCCTCCTCCACGTAAAGAAGGCGGTGGTGCTCCCGCTGCCAGATTCTCGTACCCAACCAACACCGACCGTCCATTCCCTAATCCCCAAACCCCAACCGGATCCAAACCCAATCAAAACCCGACCCGCTAATCGCCCACTAAACCATTCGTTCCCAGCCACCACGCGAAGCCCTAGACCACTCCCTCCCCTCTGTCGTCTCCACTCTCTAGAGCGAGAAGCAGCCCTCGACCACAACTGCCTCCACTCTCTCTCTCTCTCTCTCTCTGTCTGTCTACAATTTTACGCAGAACTCCCTCAAAACCCTAACAATTCCATGAAATGTGAGACGCTGCCATGCCCTCCTCCGCTCTCCTGCGGGTCTCGCTCCGCTCCCGCGCTCGCCTGACCATGTCCCTTACCTCCCTTCGACCTCTCCATTTCTCTTCTCGAAACCCTAGGAACCCTAGAAACAAGATGATGAAGAGCGGGATATACGTGCCGCCGATCCCGAGGCTGAGGTCGGTGATAGCCAGCGCCAACGGCACGATTCATACTGCGAGGTCGGTGGATTACGACTGGAGGGACGAGGGTTTGTCGTCGTACGTCAAGCGGCAGCAGAGTGCGAGCTATGGGAGGTACGCTTACGATGATTACTCCGAGGATGATTCGGATCGAGATGTCGAGTCTTCGTCTGTGGCTTCGAATAAGGTGAGGTCTACTGATGGAAGTTTCATTGAATTTGAAGTTGTTTTGGGTTGTTTGGTATGTTTTGTTCATGGTTGGGTATCAGATATAGGGTAATTTTGTCAGTTTGTGATGCTCTGTGGTAAAGTTGAAGTCTTGTTGTGGGCATGGGTAACTTAGTAAGAACAAAAGATAAAGGACAGAGATGAATGGTATCTATGTACTGAACTAGTAAATACTGACCTATCTGCCCTTTATTTTTGCTCCATGCATGCGTAATTGCAAATATGAACCATATGCTTAAGAGGTGTATAGATAAAAATCATCGACACGTGGTTTTCATTGATTTTGGTAGGAGCAACTTATGAGCACTGTGAAAATTGTCAGAGAAAAAAGTTTTTTTGATGCAGCCCTGAATTCTTCTCCCTCCAGCGAAAAATTATATTGATGACAATTTGTCAAGATCCAGAACATTTTGTATTATCATAATCGGGAACTGAGTAAGGTTGACATAACATCCTCATCTATTTAGCTTAGCTATAAATGAAGGTACTGGGCCTCATTAGCATGAGGTCCAAGGTGCATGTTTTGCAAACAATCTTGAGATAATTAATGAGTGAGAAAGGACACTTTCCTAAGAGAAGAAAAAAGCATCAGGGCAAAAGATTTAAAATTAGTTGGATGAAAGCAAAATTTACGGTGGATGCACATTAAAGGTTAACAAAAAATGTAGGAATAAGAGAGTTTAGCACATATAAATAGTTAAAAACACCTAGGAATTATCATCATTGTTACTTAGAACCTATTGTTTATTATTGTGGTTAGATTGAGGCAGATCTTCTTGGAATCAAAGATTCAAATTAGGTGCGTCCTTTGAAAATTATCTTATACTTTGTAGTATTATAAAATATAAAATAAGGTATGACAAATATGGCAATTACAACCAACATTACTCTAGTTAGGATTTGAGATATTTTATGGCTTGCTACTAACAATTAAGTCTTTATCCAATAGTATGTTCCATAGTAGCTTAAAACACATAGCTATGAAGCACTTCCTCATGTGAAGGTGCAAAATGCGCCTATAACATATATTTCATTTGCCTTTATGCTGAAGTGCATGACTCATGGTATGGGTTGCCTTGTAATGCATGTTAAGGTTCTTTTCCCCTAAAATTTTTATTGAATCATCTCTCTTTTGTGCCCTTTTCCGCATTGTGCAAATGCTTTTAGTATATTATTACCATAGAATAACCTGATCCCTGAGTCTTAAAGGACCTGTTAGAGTGTACAGCTATTGTACTTTTGATCAGTATGTTGGGCAACTTGTTCAAAGTTAAGCATCCTAAACGAGAATGTTGAGACTATTAAGTGGTAATATTCTAAAGATATGATAAGAAACATGTACATCACGAGAAATAGCCACGAAGGGTGCGGATAAAGCTGATAAGAAGTGGATATTGGTGTTTTTATATCTGTATTTTGTTTTTCTGACTTAAAAATGAGTTCTGGTGGCAATCATGAAAAACGTTATCATATTCATCAATGAGGGTAACATATAATATACAAATATATAGGAAACAAATAGAAATTTGAATTCAAAAAGGATAATTCCATAAATATAATTATTTATGAGCAATAAAATATGGTTACTAAAAATTTGATGAATTTCAAAATATGAACCCAATGCATTTAGTTTAATTTCCATGTTAACTGTTTGTAAAATGCTTCAGGACCATTATGTTATACATTAAGGTCAACTCTTTATTCAATGGATTCGATAATTGTTTACAATTACCAATGTAAGAACTACGAACACATTGGATAATTGGATTTTAGTTAGTTTCACATTAATCTTTGGATCTATTGAAAATTTGAGGGGACTCAGGTATGAATTTTAATAATGAATTCCGTATTGTATTTGGGAAATTCAAACCCAAATGAATACAGTCAGATAAACCATATTTACTTGCATTCCTAATGGTCACATGTCCACGGTTTAGCGGTTGCCATCTATTCGTCAAAGGAGGTGGGAAAACATAACTCAAGGCTGCTCGTTGCAACATGCAGCTGTTCTTGTCTTTTGCATAGGAGTCCTCTTTTAGGTGGGATTTCCACAGTAGCCCATCTATGCATGTCCACAACAAATGAACAAACTCATATTTAAAGTTAGAACACAGGTTGTGGCCGGCTTTGAATGGGTTTCTAACCTGACCTCATCCTAAAGAGGTCCATTGGGTTTATTCTGTGGCTTACCTGAAGCTGCTCCTGGCCTGCATATTGACTTAAAATATGTATTGGGTCAAATCACATTCAGATGACAAATCAATATACTTTCAGAGTTTTGATAATACTTTTGGCACGATCAAACCAATACACTTTCTGAGTTTGATAATACTTTTGGCACAGTCAAATCACATTCACAAAAGACATATATGCCTCAAAATTTTCATATTTTAAAAAAATACTTCCACAATAGCATATTTAGAAATCGACCCCTGAGATCATCAGGTTATTGGAAACCATAACATTATAATATTAATACTTGCACTATCTTTTGGCTTTGCCAAAAGTAGGCATAACTTGTTGAAGGGATTACATTTGGGTTATGTGACCATCTTTCAACCATGCCAGAAATAGGCATAAATTGCATATTGGTCATGTGCAGTTCTATACTTCTTATTCCTTGCAATTCCTTTCTTTTTCTGATTGCGTTGTTCTTTTGGGAGGAAGACAATGTACTTACTTGTGGCGGGTTGGTATGATGGTTGCTTATTTGTGAGTTGTCTCCTATGAGTTTGGTGTGATACATTTCTTTACTGGAAAGCATGTTAATCTGAATTGTTCTCTTATTTTCGCATGGGAAAATTTTCAGGGTGCCTCCACACTTGATAATGTTGATGAGTGGAAGTGGAAATTAAGTATGCTTCTTCGTAATGAACGTGAGCAAGAGGTAGTATCCAGGGAAAGAAAGGACAGGCGTGACTACGAGCAAATTGCTGCAGTAGCTGAGAGAATGGGATTGTACAGGTAGTCCTCTTATTTCCCTTTCCTTTTGGCTAATTTTTGTATTCATTTGAGCATTGCTAGTGACTCATGATTACCTTCTCTGGCAGTCGCCAATATGCAAAAGTCATTGTTTTTAGTAAGGTGCCACTGCCAAACTATAGATCAGATCTTGATGATAAAAGACCTCAGAGGGAGGTATTTTCTAATTACTTGTATTTCTGTTCTCTATTTTCAAAAGATAGCTTTCAGTTTAATTATATGTTCTTGATATGTATATCCTATTTTTGTTTAGGCATGTGATAGTTTATTATTGTACACTAAGGTTTTGCTTGTCAGATTGCATAAAGTGAGAGTGAGGTGCTCCATTAGCTAACTGCCCCCTTTACTGATTCACCTAGATGGTACTACTTGTAGGTTTCCATTCCTACTGGATTGCAAAGGGAAGTGGGTGCTTTACTTGGGGATTATCTTGCTCGAAAGCAGACAAACAGAGAAAGCTTTCCACATCTTCCCTTTTCGAGGTCAAGTAGCACTGATAGCTTTGCCAACGATGAGGGACTCTTTGAGCAGCAGGACCCACAGACTCCTACTAGTACTGTTATGGAGAAAATCTTAAAGCGAAGAAGTTTACAACTGCGCAATCAGCAACAAGCCTGGGAGGTAGCATATGTTAATAAAATCTAAATAGCATCTCAAACATCAGCATATTTGTCTCCGAATGTTTTATTCTTCTATGCAGTATCAGGCCGACATGTTTTGTCTATGTATCAGTGTTGCATGGTGCAAACAATGCAGGTTGCTTTGCTACTAATGAATGACTTGCTAGTAATTTCCATTACATTGTAGTTAACAGCAGCTAAGCAGAGATCATGTTAACTGTTTATTTTCTTCCTTTTTGTGTGTGAAATGGTCCAAACAATCATTGCAGTAATGATTCTTTTCCTGTGGTCTGCTGTCAGCTACCATTCATGTTGTTATTTCTTGCTAGAGGTTTTAAACTGCTTAGCTGCAAATTATATGTGAACTGCTGTTTTTTGTGCTATAATTTATGATGCATCAGAAAGTGGATTAAAAATAAAAGGTGATTGAACACAGGGAAAAAAAAGAAGGATAGTAAGGTTAATTATTGAAGTAGAGTAGACTTTGAAAAAAGAAAATTAGTCAGATTCTGGCACCGCTGTACTTGTTCCAGTTTGCTTGCATACTGTTATGTGAAAATGTCCGTGGAGAAATGGTTAAGGAGCTTTAAATGAGGGGATGAAGAAAAGGGAAAAAAGCTATAAGGTACTTGGGAAATTTGAAGAGAAAACAATAGAAAAGAAAGCTGAAAGAAAGTGTAGGAATAAGTGAACAACTTATATGTACAGGGGAAAGTGGACAAAGAGAAGGAAATAATAGAGTTATATGCAGGAAGGTAAAGGAAAAGAAGTGAAAGGGAAAAGGTCAAGTGGAGAGGATATGGGACACTAGGAGGACAATTAGATACTTATGCAGCAGATTGAATGTAAAGGTTGAAATTAGAGATATAATGACCAATGATTCTTTTTCATGATTTTTGTGAATAGGATGATGTTATCTTTTCAAAAGGTCACAATCAGGGTCAAGAAAATCAGCTAACCCCTCGTACATACAGATTCACCTCCCGGACTACATCGTCGAAGGATATTTGATGAAGCATAGTTCCTAAACGTTAGTGTAATTGCAATTTTCAGCATACTATTAATACTTTGAACACTCAAGATTGTTTCAGCATGGCTATTTAATCATGAATAAAGTTTAGGTCTTCTGATGTTTTCTCTTGCATTAAAGTGGGGAAATCTATGAGAGGTAGGAATTCTTGATGCTGACCAATTAAGGTCGCAAAGGGTTGCACTACATTGTGGCAAGTCTGTTGATAGCACCAACTGGGTAAGTGTGGTTTTGGCGTGGATTCATGAATAACTTTGGAGATCTAATGTCACTATGTTAATTTTTCCAACACTCCTGTGTATATTAGGCATTCTAATAGCTCCAAAAAATTTTAAAGCTCTGAAAATGGTTCAAAGCCAAATAGATCACCTGTATGATAAATCTAAAAACATTTAATTTCTTAATTATTATTTGCAGATGATAATTATGTTCGTTCTTCCAGTACTCTTGTCTATATTATGTATTCTAGTAGCACACAAATACAAGAAATGCAGTGGTAAATTTTGCCGAACTATTTTCTTTCCTGAAGCTAAATCTGTTTCATGACATGTTGATGCTATTCATGCATTTATTCTCAGAACTTCTATATCAAACATCAAAATGTCATCTTTTGTAGGAATCACCTGAGGGTCAAAGAATGCTAGAATTTCGCAGAAGTCTTCCTGCTTACAAGGAGAAACAAGCACTATTAGAAGCCATATCCCGGAATCAGGTTTGGAAATTTTAAAAATAATTCATTCATTTTGATGTTAAACGTTGTTTGTTGATTTCCTGAAGGCAGTTATTGTTGCTACTTTTGTTTGAAAAACATGACGATTATCCGTACTACCTAATTATAGGAAAGCTGATTCATGTTCAGTGTATTTTAATATTGGCTCCCTAATTTGACCTACTACTATATGGTTTGCTTGTTACAGTTTCCATATAATCTGTTTTGAATCAACTCATTATGCAGTAGTTTGTGAAAGAAACTTATTGAGTTGTGATCTATGACTTCAGTTGATCTTTTTCTATCCTAATGTTTCCGCTGTTCTGGATTGATCTTTGATTATTTCTCAGGTAGTTGTCGTTTCAGGAGAAACTGGTTGCGGGAAGACAACCCAACTTCCTCAGTACATTTTAGAATCTGAGATAGATGCTGCTCGTGGAGCAACTTGCAGTATCATCTGTACTCAGCCTAGAAGAATATCTGCGATGGCCGTCTCTGAAAGAGTAGCAGCTGAGCGAGGGGAGAAATTGGGTGAATCTGTAAGCTTTCTTTTTCACTGTTAGTTCATTGAATGCCTGTATTCCTTATTATCCAAGCAAAATTATGATTTAAAACTTTTTTTATCATCTTGTTTGCTTATTGCTAAAGGTTGGGTATAAAGTTCGTCTGGAGGGTATTAAAGGGAGGGATACTCGCCTACTTTTCTGCACCACAGGAATTTTATTGAGGAGACTGCTGATTGATAGAAACTTGAAAGGTGTAACACATGTTATTGTAGATGAGATTCATGAACGTGGCATGAATGAAGGTAGAAGCTCAATTGAATAAATTTTCCTTGTTATATATGGATTATGGAATTTATGAAGCTTTTTGTTGCCAGACTTTCTTCTTATTGTCCTCAAGGAGCTTCTTCCTCGTCGTCCTGAATTGAGGTTGGTTTTGATGAGTGCAACTCTCAATGCTGAGCTTTTTTCCTCCTACTTTCACGGGGCACCTATGATACACATTCCTGTAAGTTAATTTGAATTTGAGTTCCATTTTCAACGTTGTTTAAAGCAACCAGTTTGCATAATGCTCCTCATGATGATAAACAATGAGTATTATATACCACTATCTATCACTCAGATTTAGCTTGGAATTTTTGCTTCCCTTTCTGAAGTGTCGATTTTTTACCATTAGGGGGGATCAGTTTTAACAATATTTTAACTAGCTTGCTACTATAAATTTTAGTTTTGGTCTGTAATGTAACTGAAGTTTTGAAATGCTGAACTTGGTTGTTTGCATATGTGCTATGCTGCATGGCTTCTTCTACCATGAAGTGGTACCCATACCCTACACGTCCTGTACCCGTACGCATACCCAACACTTCATGGATCCTCCTTGAAGATATGCATACATTTAATCAAATGAATACATACTTATACAATACATGTCCTAATTAAAACACTCATTATACACTTATTGGGCGTATATCCTACACATCCATTTTTCTGAAACTTGTTAGACAAGGGCTGCGTTCTTTTCTAGCCATATTCAAGTTAGAAATATGATTTCAAGGTTTTTTGTGTATCTAGCTGAGAACTATGATTTCAGCTGTGTGTGTTCCGTACCCGCAGCAGTCCCATATCCATATCAACGCAACTTAATACTCTGTGTGCTACTTAAAGATAAAAATCGAAATTTCAATAATACTTTTAAGTCTTTTAGCGTCAATATTCGATGAGTACTACACTGTTAATTAGGATTATGGTTGGGTTTTTTTCTGCACTGGTAGTACTATGTATGCCTTAACAACTGCTATTTCATATCGTCAAAGTCGAATATGTTTTATGTTTTTTGAGTGCAAAGTCATGATACCATTCACTATAGGAGAAAATTGTAAGTGATACAACATTTTGGATATATTCTTAAATGTGGACCGTGGAATTTATATTTCCAATTTAGTGTAGTGCAGTGTTTTATACATAATGGGTTGGTTTAAATTTTAATAACTATACCTTTATGCAATACAGTCTAGATGTTATATCTTTCTGGCATAGAAAGTTCAATAAATTGTAATGTACATAAACTATGACTTGGAAGTATTACTGGACTGCTCAAGAATCTAAAGTTGGAAGTGCTNNNNGGCCCTTCTCTTCCTCTCATTTGCGGTGATCACTAGAACATATAAACTCAACCCTTGCATTGACATATCAAATTTGTGAATTGTTGGATGAGAGCTCTTTTTTGTATATAGGCTGAATTTTGCTGCAATATAGTCGGTAAAAGTGACTACTAAAATTTCTAGAGCTTCCTATCTAATTTTCACATTCTCTGATCTGCGTTTCCTAAATTATCATACTTTGTGACTCTACTTACCTGAAAATCATTATTGGTTGAGTGACGACGAGGACAATTTAAGGAACAATTAAAATGTCCATGAAAGTTTAGCCTAAATCGTGAATCTGTGATTCAGACTGCAAAATTGCTTATTGAACCAAATGTTGTTATGTCTATATTGTGTATAGCTTTAACATGAGGTACTCTTTTGAGTCTTCATCTCTGGTAAGTTAGATGTTTGGGTAATAAGGTTATTTTCCCCTTAAGCTCTTCAATTGATAGAGAAAAATACGGATACTGTATCTTGCTCTTTCAACACTCTTGTTCCTTCAGTTCACACATCTATTTGTATTTTTCTATATAATAATATATGAAGTACCCTTCTATGTTGAAGACGCATCTCTTGCTCTATCTCTAAAATTATGAAGATACAATATAGTGAGAGGAACATCACCCCCCACAGAATATAAGCAAAAGTGTAAGAAAGGGAAAATAATTGATGCGTCCACACATATTTTTTTTAATTGAAAACCCATAGTGGGATTTCTTCTTCAATTTAATCCGGAATGCTTATGAAATGTTGATAGTAGAGATGGAGTCATATTTTTTATAAATTACTTTGTAATTGGTGTCACATGTTACGTACTACTGATGTGATATGAAATTATTGGAGACTATATATATAATACACACACACATATACATATATCTACACACACACACACACACACACACACACACACACACACACATATATATATATATATATATATATGTGTGTGTGTGTGTGTGTGTGTGTGTGTGTGTGTGTGTGTGTGTGCGCGCGCGCGCGCGCGCGCGCAGATATATGTATACATATGTACATATGTGTATATATATACATATTTATATGTATATATGTATACATATATATATATATATGTATATATGTATACATATATATATGTATACATATATATATGTATACATATATAATATGTATAATATATACTGATGTGATATGAAATTATTGGAGACTATATATATAATACACACACACATATATAGATATACATATATACATATGTATATGCATATACATATTGTATATATACAATTTTATATATATATATATATATATATATAATACACACACACACACACACATGTATATATATATATATATATATAGGGAAAAGTGTTCCTAAGGTGACGACTTAGATAATCATCTAAGGACGCGGCCTAAAATCACATGATTGAGCTACATTGCGGATGATCCGCTCCGTTGAACTTGATCTACATATTCTAATACCCAACACACCAAGCTTGGGGTGAACCCGTCGTCGTTTGACCCTTCATCCACTCATATCAATTTTAAAGGTTTCGAATGAATAGAACTTTTCACATGGTTCGACGGAGCAAACGACGATGGGTTCATCCCAAACTTGGTGTGTTGGGGTTTTAGAATATGTAAATCAAGTTCAACGGAGCGGATCATCCATAATGTATATCCGTAGCTACAATAATGTGGACCGCAATTCAACTCATTTCATAATCGCCTTCTTTCAAAATAAATAAAGAGGATTATTTGTGTGTAATAGATTTTACTTTTCAAAAACTTGTAGTACATATGTTTGATGTTCTATTTAATCATTCTAATTTAATAAATAATGTAGTGAATACAAACATACAAGAATACAATCATATCACTTGCAATCTCACAGTGTTTGTGCACAGATGTTTGCTCATAACTTGCATAAGTTGTCTAATAAACAATGTTTAACCAATTTATTGATTTCCTGAAAGGTGACAATTTTAAGTTCACATAAGTTGTGTACGTTGTGCGGAATTTAGATAATAAACTTTGCAAATATATTGATTAGTATTGAAGGTGCATTTGAATTCCAAACTTTATATAGGGTTACCACCTTACCCAATCGCCACTTATTTAAAAGGACTTGATGATATTCCTTAATCAGCACTCGTCAATAAAGAAATGGACTATGCCGGGCTTCTGGTTTCATACTATAGGCATGCTACAAGTTTTGAGTAGCTATACACTTGTGCTTCCCAGTTCCCAATCATAGCTAAAAACCTTAAAAATGCCCCCCCGAAATTACTGCAGTTTGATGGAAGTACTGAACAAGGATAATTTGTCTCTGAATATGGGCTACTTGAACTCAAATTTTCTTCAAATTATTGTCCTTGACACACATCTTTTTTCTTCTTCCTCTTTTTCCAACTCAATACTGATCGGGTTGTAGTTCCATGTTGAACATTTGATCTCTTTTTTTTTTGTTTCCTGCTATTCAAAGTTATCAACTAAATAACTCTTTGTCAAGTATACAAATCAGGAAAATGTTGCTTCGAAAGTTGATTCTCAGGATTATTAATGCATCATTGTCGGTGATGCAGTGTGATAAGTAGTTAACTTATTTGTTACACCTATGGCATGTCACTACTCTTATAAAGTTTAAGTTACATTTGTGCATTACTCTGCCAGTTATTCTTAGCTGGCATTGAGTGTGAAAAAATGGATACCTTGTAATTTATAGACATCCCATGGGAAACGTTCTCATTGTGCTTGACACTTGGGTCTTACACTGCTAATGATTCTTGGAAGGTTTATTTCTTGCCAGTTATTTTCTTTATTTTGCTTACCATTCTTTTTTTGCGTATCTTTTTTTTCTGTTGAAGACCAAAATTATTTCTTGCTTTTGCTTAGTCAGACTAAGATATGTGCTGGTAACTTGTCGTTTTATATTTTGAACCATCAACATCTCTATGTATGTATACCTTCTCATCTTTGTTCAAAAATTTTAAATCTTAATCTCAAGGTTCTGCCAATTCTTATTTTAAAACCACTGTAGCAAGTCACTTATGTGATAAGAAAAAAAAGAAAAAAATCATTGAACTCATTGATTTAGTCATATAATATATACAATTTTCAACTAAGGAAACTTGCGTAATGATAACTCTTAAGTCTGATATGGATCTTACTGTGCAGTTTCAAATGCAGTGCAAATGTTAACTCATGTATTGGATGGTTTTCATTAACTTTTTAAGGTTTAGTTTCTTTGGCGAGTGGAATTTGTCTCATAGTGACTATATAAAAAGGTGTTGGATTTTTTCCTTGGTGTTGTCTTGTTGGAAATATATAATGACTATAGACATTGTTTCCAAGCAGATATTTTTGTGTATGGTAATTTTTTTTCACATGGTTATTCATGTAGATGCAGTGCTTAGTTATTTATCTTGTTGTTAATCGTTTACAGAATCTGAGAATCATCATTTGTTAATTTTCATGGTTCTTTACAGGGATTTACTTATCCAGTAAGATCAAATTTTCTGGAGAATGTCCTTGAAATAACTGGGCATAGGCTGACCCCCTACAATCAAATTGATGATTATGGACAAGAAAAAAGTTGGAAAATGCAAAAGCAAGCACTTAGGAAAAGGAAAAGCCAAATTGCTTCTGCCGTCGAAGTATATTAAATTTCCTGCCCCCTTGCCTTCTTGAGTAATTTCTCCTGTGATATTATTGTTTATTTA